GGCCGCAGGGATGGCGTCCCCCCCCCGCCCAGGCCCGGCTGCCTCACGGGACGCCACATGGCCCGGCCCAGGGAGCTGCGCCAGCCGGGCACGGGGGAACGAACGGGGAGAGGGGCCGGGGCCACGCCAGCACCGTCGTCCCACCGGGGAAAGACCCCAAGCAGCCATACGTAACCCTCCGGGGCTCCCCAGGGCAGCCGAGGCGGGAGAGGGGCCGCGCCAGGCTGCATGCAGGAGCGGGGACGGAGGCGTTCCTGCCCCGGCCACGCTGCGGGGTTGCTGGTGTCCCACCTTGGCCGCGCTCCGCCGGCCACCTCCTCCGGCTGCCCCCGGGGCCGGCCTGGCGCTCCAGCTCGGGGTGCCGCTGGCATGAAACCCGCGGCGCTCCTTCCTCTCTCCTCCCCGCGTCCTCCGCAAGCAACGCCGAGGGGAGGAGCCGCCCACGCGCCACTGGGTCAAACGGCCACGGAACCAAAAACGCGACGGAAAAGGAAACGGGAGGAAACCAAAAAACCCTACCGTGAAAAAAACAAAAAAAATAAAAGTGACAAAGGGAAAAAAACACTAATCCCCTAGCAGAGTACAAAGACCTGGAAAGTGATGGAGCAACAACAGCGTCTTTGGAGCGCGGAGGGCACGGCCATGCGCCTCCCGCCTCCAGCACAACACGATTCGGGGCCCGGGGAGCGCAGCGGGCAGGCGTCCGGCCGAGTCCGTGCCCCGGCGGGGAGGAGGAGGGCTGGCCGGGAGCCCGGACTGCTCAATGCTCACCACATCCGAGGAGAGGCTTTGGGGAGGGGGGGTAAGCGCAGGGCCAGGCCCTAGCAGCGGGCAGCGGCCCCCGCCCCTGGCCCGGCGTCCTCGTCCTCTAGCGAATTGTGCGGCACAGCGCCCGCCAGCCTCCGGCCGCCTCCCGCTGCACCTCCGACGCGTCCGCCCGGCAGATGGGGCACGTGCGGTTCGCCTACGGGCAAGGAGATACGGGGGCAAGTGAGTGGGCACCCCATGGCACCCGCTGCACCCAGGGCCACCCCTACCCCACCGCCAAGGGCTGGAGCACCCCACAGTGTGCCGCAGCCCGGGTGTGCCTGATCCAGCCCGGCATGGTGCTTGGCCCCCGCGCCCAGCACATCCTGTGTTGCACGGCACCGACACCACCCGAAAGGCAGCGCCCTGCGCCCGCAGCACCCCAAGAAGCCGCCCCACTCCCCGCAGCGGGCACGGGCACGGGCAGTACCTTTAACCATTTGTCGACACACTTGGCGTGGAACTCATGGTTGCAGGGCAGGACACGGAGAAGCTGCCGGGCCTCGAAGTCGCTGAAGCACACGACGCACCTGGGGGGGGGAGCCGGCAGGACGGCCCCGCCACGCAGCCACGGCCCCCGGCCCCCCACCAGGCACCCCCGTGCCCCCCAGGCTCACTCACAGGGTCTGCTCGGACTGGTGGCTCTCGGGGTTGAAGCGGTAAGATGGGAGGTGCTCGATGTCTGCTTTGGTGAGGCCCCGCGGCTTTGCC